CGAGATCAGAAAGCGCGCGCTGCACGCTCGTAATCCGGCCGGCGCGGCTTTCGGTCCTTTCCGACGCGGATCGGCCGTCGCCGACAACGTTCGGTAGTCTTCGCGGGGGCGGTGGGGGTCGTTTTGCCGTCAAAAGGGTGGGAGATGGTGTCAGATGGAAAGACGGGGGGGAAGGGGGGTGGAGGGAGCAAAGGGTGAGGCACTCGGCCATCATCAGCGGAGGCGCGTAGTTCAGTGACCCTCCGCGTCGTCGCGTGAAGAAGGGGGGGCGCGGGGAGTTCTGACATATTGTGAGATGCCAGCCCGCTAACGCCGGTCCCCGAAAAACATCTCCCTCCGTCTCCCTCCCTCCCTCTATCTCTCTCTCGCTCTTTCCTTCCTTTGATTCACGCTCGCCCCGTCTCCGTCTCTCTCGTTTTCTCTCTCTCTCTCTCTCTTTCTCTCTTCTGTTCGCGAGGCGCGGGCAAACACGCGCTCTATCTCTCCATCTTTTTCCCTCTCATTCACTCCTTCCTCGTCCGACACGTTTACTGCCGGCGCGGCTCGTCAAAACCCCCGAAATATTCATACCGTCAGTCGTGAACTTTCCGCGAGTTTTTCCAGCCGTGTGCGCGAACGTGAGCGAGGAGGTCGGTGTTCTCTTCGTGAGAGAGAAGGATGCGAGAGAGAGAGAGAGAGAGGACGCTCGCTCGTTTACACGCATTACTCCGGGTGTCTCCCGAAATTCCCGATCGACCGAAGAGAAATGATCGCGGCCGCGAGTGTCTCGATGCCATACGACGCGTGTTAACATATATAATATACGGACATTCTCTCGCCCTCCTCTCCCTTTCCCAGATCTCGTCTCCTCCACTTTGCTTCATCTCCTATTCGTCATTGCACCAGTTTCTCCGAGACACTCTCCGAGATTTTCTCGTCGTTATCATCTCTTTCAGACACGCGGGCAAACGGAAGCGCGATCCATCGACGAGAATCGATTTGCGAAAGTGACCTTCTCTTTGTCTTTTTCCTCTTTTCGTCGATTTTACGTTCTCCATCGGCTCGTCAGATAAAAATCGTGATTACGTACAAGTGTACGCGGCCTGTGCGTGTGCGTGTGCGTGTCATGTGAAACGTATGCGACACAGAGTGTAAACGAGTTGTGCGACTAGAAGGTCTCCAGGTGAAAGATACCGCGAGGAAGAGCGCGTGTGCACGCGTGCATATGCGTGATCCCGTGCTTTTCTGTCGCGCTTGCGCGAGTTGCACGCACTTTGGACGAAAGACTGTTCATCTCTGAGGAGATTCAGGATTCGACGAAAATCAAATTTCACTCTGCAATGGGAAGTTTATGTCCAATATTATTGATGTACTCTACGCGCGATGTGGCATGTGAAATTGTTTCTATTTCATATTGCGTCTATCAATGTGGAAAAACGTGCATAAATTCTATGGTTTTGCGAGAATTTCCAGAAATTTTATCTTCAAGCGTTTATTCGTCTTGATCGACAATTAAGCATAATGATCTTGAAACATATTTTAAAAATGACGGTTTGATGATTTTGTCCGAGATAATTTAAAAAATATAATCTTACACACACATATATATATAGATAATTCTATTTTCCAAAATATGTTCTCGATATCGTAATTATATTATAATAGTTTCCGCGAAAAAGTTACATAAATTAATTTGTAGGAAATTATAATTTATAGGAAATTCATTTATATATCATAAATACACTTGACACTGCATCTCTTAAATTCGGTTGAATAAACCTTATTATAACAAAGAAAGTAGTCGAGTTATAGCTCGAAAAATTAAAATAAAATATATAGATTAACAGCAGAAAATATCTGGAGTAAGACAATCATATGTATATATCACTCATGTAATTAAGATTTACGTATTTCAAAATGCAATTGCATTAAATGTTGAACAATCTGTATATTTAGATCAGATAAAAGAAATCATATAATTACGCTTTATTCAGCTTTAGCACAAATACATATTATATTGTCGTAATAAATAATGTAATTTAAAAAAAGAAACAAAAAATGTCACTACAATATAAAAAAAGCAAAAGATAAATCGAAGAGAAAATCATATCGCTAGACTTATATAAAACTACTAAATAAAAGAAGAATTCCTCGTGGAATTAATTATTTATCATTATTAAACATTATTATCGAGGCAAATTGAAGAAAATAAAGCTTGATGATATAATGCCATATAATTTTCAAAAAGAAATCTCAAAAATACTCCTCGCAAGTAATAGATATAACGAACAAAATCAATTACATGATACGTGCTCCATTTTATTACACTGCTGCGGATATTAAATTCGATACATCGTTCAACGTTATTCTATATCTGCCATAAAGCAAGAGATCATGTGTCGTTTTCGCGTTTATTATTATTATTTAATGGACATTTCATTTAAAAATTATATCGAATAGAAATCTCGATGTGTATCGACGTTATATCGGCGATCGTTTCGATTTCGGGAGTTCCGGGTATAGCGCTGTCCGTTGTGCCGCTGCACTCTCCGCATGACGCACGTCGAAGATGCGAGCGTGCCGGGTGACTGTACTCTGGGTTCATCGTTCTCGGTTATGTAATGTTCGGCCGGGTATACGTATGGTGCAAGCGCCTCGACGCTCTGCTCGTGGCGCTAGAGTTGCCGGACGCGAGAGGCGCGATACATCCAAACGGCCGCGACCGGCCGCACGCACCGAAACCACGCATGCTTCACGCACACGCGTGTGAATCGTCTTATATGCGTATCTCTCGAGCCCGCTCCGTCCGCCCTTTTTTTCGCCTCGCGAAATCGTTTTCCTGTTGCCGCGCGCCACCCGAGTTTCGTGCCTTCGTTTTTTCGACCTCGGGAATCGCCGATTCCCTTGGCAAGTTGAAAGAATAAATCGTGTTGCGAATGGAAAATTTGCTTTCACATTCCTTCGTTTTAATGCGTAAAAGATATACGCTTTATGTTAGAAATATGTGTGAATTCAATTTAAAAAACTGCAGAAACGATTAAAATTTGTCAATATTTAATCAAAAGATTATACTTTCTTTTCGATTTATCGATCATTCGAAAAAGATTTCTCAATTTCTCAATTTGATATTTCAATAACCAAAGAGATGTAGTTTGTGTATTAATATTTACTAAAAAGAATTAAATTATGATAGCACAATGTCTGTCTAGATATTATTATCTTCTTTATTGTTGATAAGCGAACGAAGAATTGGAATCGAATTCTAGCAGATAACGATAATAGACTTTGACACTCGTAAAATTATCTCGCTTATATAGAAATATTATTTTTCGCAAAAACTTAGACACAATATTCAATCTTTTTATATATATATATATATATATATATATATATATATGTGTTCGAAATTATTATTATAATAATCCTCTTATTTTGAATTTATTTATCCTCTTATTTTGAATTTATTTATCCTCTTATTTGAATTTATTATATTCCTCTTATTTTATCTAATTATTTGTCCCCTAAGAATGTATATTCTGACATTTTATAATAAATAAATTAGATTCAGTTAACGAGATAAATACACAATTGAACGTTAAAATATTACATACTAATATATAGAAAAAAAGAACATTCTTCTTTTGAAAATATATTTAATTTTAACATGGAAATGAGATTATATTGCGTTAATTAAAGAAAAATATAATTGCTTGAATAATTACTTCCTTAAATAAAGCCATTTTATATAGTTCAATCAAGAAAAATATATTCTTATGATTTAAGATCTAATTTTCTTGAATGGAAAAGAAACAATATTAGATAGAAAATTACATTTTTAAATCAAAGATTATATATAATTTTCTTAAAGTAGAATTAAATAATTATATATTCTTGAAGTGACAATTACAATATTAAAATAAGACTATAATATTGTTGAAATTTAAAATTATTAAATTTTTCTTCTGAGAAGATTATAAATTGTTGCGTATATACGAAACAAGGAACGCATTAATTTAAGTATATAAGTTTTGATTTGACACTTTTTTTCTGTGTACCAATTTAATTCTGGAAATCTTTTTCATCAATTCCATTTAAAATACTTGATAAAAAAGCAAGTTATCAAACTGCAGCAATTGCTACACTTTTTTTTTTTAGAATACCATACAAAACGCAAATGTGAAATTTAATTGGGTGATTTTGCAAAGACTAATTAAGAAATAATCAAAGACGTCCGTTTGACGGACGACCGATCGCAATCACGTGCGCGGGTCTTCAAAGGGAGAATCGAGCCGCGAAAAATAAATTGTCCCCACGATAAATCGTAAATGAAATCAGCAAGAAAGATCCGTAAATGGAAGGAAGTCTGTCAGGATTTGGCGGGCCTACGTGGGGTGCGGACAGTACGAGTCCTCAATCGACGGAAAGATCGAGAGACAGATCCGCGCAGCCTCCCACCAGCGCTGGCAGCGCGATCCTCGACGATCGTAGATTGCCAGCCAATTCGATACGAGGTAGAATATTAAGGAAAAATAAAATTAGAAAAAAAAACGCAATCAAATTGTTGATTCAAATGCGTAACATATGATACATTTTATCGTGACTTATGAAATACATTGAATTTATTGGAATTTATATTGATTTTAATTCCGAAACACACATAATTTAGAAAATTGTCATTTGCTAAAAAATTTTTTTTACTATCTTATAAAGGAAGAAAAGATACTTTTATTAGATCCTTAAAATAAGGTTTACAATATTTCAATATGTATAATAGAATTTTTTTAAGTTTTATATTAATTAAGCGAAACAAAAAAGAAATGTAAGATTGAAATAAAAAAGAGAGAGGAAGATTATATGCAAATGTAACTCACTGGTTGGTACATCATTAAATACACACGTGTGAATTTTGAAGCTCTCTCGATGTAAAATAAACAGATTGCGACGAGCTGTAAAGTTTTCCACAAGACATCTTGTCGCAGCGGACCTCATAATTAAAATATTCGTTTCTTTTATGATTGCAGCCCAGATCGAGATAATCCCGTGCAAGGTTTGCGGGGACAAGAGCAGTGGCGTGCATTACGGCGTGATCACCTGCGAGGGCTGCAAGGGCTTCTTCAGGCGGTCGCAGTCGTCAGTCGTCAACTATCAATGTCCGCGGAACAAGAATTGTGTGGTCGACCGTGTAAACAGAAACCGGTGCCAGTACTGTCGGTTGCAAAAGTGCCTACGCCTCGGCATGTCAAGAGATGGTGAGTGCTCTCGACTGTTTCTTTCGTCACCTTCTTTCAAAAAAACGAATAGTCTTGTCATTCTGCGTGAATTTTGAATGGCAAGTTTTAGAGACAGGCTCATCGTATAAAAATTATGTCTATTCGATAAAATATTTTATTTTTTCCTTCAGATATTCATACATATACAACTGTTTTTTCGTTTGCAAAAAAAAATCAATCAATAATAGAAAAGATAAGAAAAAACAATCATTATAATATATTTATAACATCAATCTTGGAATAATTTAAAATCGATATTTTTTGCGATTCTCATGTCAATCGGTATCAAATAACAATATATGAGTTTTTTTACGATATATAAGTTCTATGGGGTTCGCGTGAAACATAGTTCAGCGTCACACGAGCTCTTTAAAAAGCTTCTTTGTTTGAAAGACTATCGCGCATGGACGCGATATTGCGACATACGCGAACAACACCGATGCCTGATATTTACTCAACGCAGATAATAACGCAATATAAACGAGTGACGAGAAAAAATCCGCAAAATGTATATAGTATTTTGACGAAGTTAATTTTTTGTCTAATTCAAAAAACTCAATTCTAATTTTACTTAGATTTAAAATCATTTGGAAACATGCTATTCGTGTGTCCTAAACTCAAGTCTTGAAAGCTATACAATTAATCTAGAATTAATTAATTTAGAATTCAATAGCAAAATATTGTATTACAATATTAAGATCTTTAAATTTTTAGTGAATTAAGTAACGAGCAGAAACTGATTGATTCTTAGTTATTGCATAATGCAACGTCAATAAACGGCGCGATCCATTCATGTAAAAAAATCAGAGAAACGTCAACGAATGACGAAGGCAGTTAGATACACGCGGATTGCAACGAGAGACTACGCGTGCCAAACCGGGGTGCACGACCCCTTATCAGGGATTCGTCTTTCCTCCCCGCGGCGAGTCATCGCTGCCTTATCGGAGCGAGCCACGAACTGTCTTCGGCGTGTTAAACCGCCACGTTTGTGTATCCGCTGTCCAAAGCCTATTCTCGAAAGCGGCTACGATATTAATAGACAAGGCCGTCAAGACGAATCGAGAGACGGAAGATACCTCGTGAGTGGACGGATAAAACCTATCGGAACGAAGACATGGTGGTTATCTCAACCAATTGTTATCTCAACAATTCTAGATCTAAGTAACAAAGTCTCATACAAATTTCTATTTTTTTTAATTTACTAATGCCATTAAAGACGACGCAGATATCTTATCGCATTATTTTGTTACCGAAAGACAAATATTAATATAAATAATCTATTACACATTATTATTTTGGAACTGTATTCTAACATCTACATATATTATATTCTGACATCTACATATATTGTTTTTTCTCAGGATAGTTTTACGATCATCTTGCTAAGAGAAGAATTAAATATTTAGTATTTTTTATGTAGTTTTCAAGAAATTTATCTAAAACCGGATTTATCTAAAGTTATAACCGGAAATTTTCACTCTTTACAATGAAATTCAATAAAAATATCAAATAAATCGTAGTACGAAATTGAAATCTTATTATATAAATGATATAATTTATGTCGTAATGGAAGTTATATTTAAAGTTATTATTATTAATTATTATTGTTAATTAAATTCTTATTTCCAGAGTAGAATATACTTCCAATTAAACTCCTCTTTTTAGAAAATATAATAAGTTAAAGTTACAATTAAGTGTTTCTCCAATATTGAAGTTCTATCACCTTTTGTAATAATGACAAAATAGATATCAGTTTTATAAAAAAAATAAATTTAAATAAAACTAAAATAATACAAATATAACAATAAAGATAAACTTATTTTAAGTATCTCAAAATTTATCAAAAATTTTAAAAATAAATTTAAAACTTTGTTAAGGAATTATTATCTTAAGTATGAAATATAAATATAAATTCATATAGCTATAAACAACACAGATATTAGATATCTCTCTCAATCATTTTTGTGATAATCAGCTAAATTGATTAATAAAATGATAAAACGTGAACTTTTATTCGTTGTATTGTAATGATCAAAATCGTTCGCTCGAGATGTATCAGATGCACACAGAGGATGGTACACATGGACATAGAGGAGACGATGAACCGGATTCTTATCAACACGAACACCATTGACATGTGCGCGATTATCACGGCAGATACATATAACGTTTCAAAAGATATACATCAAAAATGGGAATTTATTTTACAGTGTGTTATGAAGTATTATCTATAGACGATGTCAGTTTTACGTGGTTATTCTAGCTATTAGTAGCTATTAGTAATTATTCTAGTTATATTGTTCAAAAAATTTATATAATAAATTTGAAGATAAATCTTAAAATCTTTTAGTCGAAAATAAATGTAATTTTTTTATTGTATTATTATGGAATGCATTTTTTATCACAAAACTAATAATGCACTCATAAAGCTTGTTGCAATGTAATTACAGGGCGATTTAGAAAGTAAAACTGACATTTCCTATTTAAACTTTTGACCCGAGGAAATTTTGATTACAGATATTTTTCAAAACTAGTATTATTTGCCATTTTTTTTATATATATCATCAGCAAAACAATAGTATCGATTGAACAAATTTGTTCTGTTCTTCGATGTCGCCAAGCTTTTCTATACCGCTCGATAAATAAGCTCGATCTGGCTTGCAGAGGTGCGTCATAAATTTTATATATGCGCGAGCTATTTTTGTGGCGTTCGTGATTGTTACTTCCGTGAATTTAAATCGAGCATCAAACGTTCAAAAATTTTTGAAATATCGTAGATTACATTCAATATAGTTTATATAAGAAACTGTTAATAAAAAAAATTATTAGTTACAAATTAAAGAGAAACTGTTAATAAAAAAAAATTATTAATTACAAATTAAAGAACAAGATGAAACAACAACAAAATATGTATTTATTATAATTAAATTAAAAAATCTTTGTTTCAATAGCAATATGACATTATTATTGATTTTTTATGATTAATTTGTTAAATGATTTGTTAATTTGTTTTATGATTAATTTGTTAATTTGTTAAATGATTGCTATTTATTTTAAAATTTAATCAAGAGTTTTAAATTATTTTAAACAAATCTTGATATAATTAATATTCTATTAAATTTATAGAAAATGAAAATGCAGTCAGTTAAAAGATAATATCTCTTATTAATAAAAGTGGCTTTGTGTGATGATGATACATTCTGCATAATTTAAAAATTTATTTCATTTTAATTATATATCTTTTCAATTCTTTTTTTGTATTCTTTTGCATAAATTAAATTTATGTATTGTTTATGTATAATTATAATATGATTAATAATAATTATAATATTTTTGGTATATTATTACATTAACTTTATCATTCATTTTATATTTATTATTATTATAATATTTAATTTTGTGTAATATTAAATAAATAATATCGTCTAGTCAGGTGATATTTAGCCGCGATATTCGGGCGTGACCGCAATTTCCTGCTTTTCGGTCAATTATCATGGCTTTTTTATCTGACTATGGATAAATAATATTGTTGACGGTGGTCAACAACATGTACGATTTATACTTGTTGAAAGGCCAGCTTGTTGAAATTATTTCCCCTTCGAAGATAAAACGAATAAATAATTGATAAAATTTAACGTATAATCAAAAATTATACGTGTTATTTATATTAATTATATAAAAACAAAAAAATACGCTAGATTTTTAACGAATCATTTATTATATACTTGTGAAATTATTGATAATTAAACAGATTATTTAAACAGATTATTATTTTTTAGCATTTCTTTTGGAGATATCTACATATGTGTGTTGAATATAAATAAAAATGTTATTTGCGATAATAGAATACAATGCTTAAAATAAAAAGAAATTTAGACTTCATACAGAAATTTACATTTCTGAATGAAATTACAATATTTGAGATTTATTAAAATGATTTTTATTTATTCTAACAGTTAAAATCTCATATTTAATATTTCAGATTTTAACTATTAATGTATCATTAAATTATTACATAGATATTACATAGATATTATATATATATATATATATATATATATATATATATAGACTTTAATTTTTATTACAGAAATAAATTTATACATATTTTAAATAAATTGAGAATAATTATGATAAATTGCGGAATTATTTCAAATTAGTGATAATTAATTAATTAATTAATTAAATAGTTTCGCTTTAATGTATTTTATTTATTGCCTTTAAATTTGTTATATCATCTAAAATTATGTTGAATCATCTAAAATTAGATTTATTTAAATTTTACCAATTTCGATTTTTGTTTATAATAATGCATAGAGATAAATAGATAGAGAAAAAGAGAAATATGCCTACCCTAACCTTGTGAAAAATTCAAAAACATTTTTTAATAAATAAGAATTCACTGTCAGATTGAAAGGATTAAACTAGAAATCAGTATTGAAGTTTGTCTCGCCATACATTTCAGATTCAGTATCGCTTTATTTACCCTCCGGCGCGATAAGCAGCAAACACATCGTTTCTACTGGACGCGCGCATGTATATAGAATACCAGAAAGTGCATCGTAAGCTACCGGTTGGTGTGCATACTCTTCCTGTTGCCATCTCCGTCTCTCTCTCCTTCGTCTCGTTTTCTCGTTCACACTTTATTCGCGTTCGGTCGATCACCCTCCTCTTCCTCCCTCTCCTCGCCGTGCCTCTGCACGATAGTTGTTCGGTTAGTCAGTCGCTGACGTCGCTATCCCCCTTATCAACCTCTCGGCCTCCGGTCGTCATTCGAACCCTCAACCACCCTCGTGATAAGCACAAGCGTGATTGTATGCACACCGGGATACATTGAAAATGCATTAATATTGTAGATATAACCGAAATATTTTATTTTTTACTAATTATATTAAAGAAAACCCCAGATTATTTTTTCAAATTTTTTTCTTATCAAATCAATTTATTCTGTTTTTTCTGAGCGCTGTTTTTTTACCAATTTTTTATTTAATATTAAATAAAAATATTTCATTGATTGGTATTAAATACAAAAATTTATATATAATATTATATATATGATTTTTTTAATTAAAAAAAAATATTTTGCTATTTATGACAAACTTCTAATTATCAATTGCTTCTAAAAGAAGCAAGCCGGCTCCAGAATTATTACCAAAAGAAAACAAATTTCCAAGATGGTTAAAAATATTAATACGTGAAATATATCTATGCGTAACATTATGGATATCTCTAATATTGTGTTACGCTTTCGAAACGCGCATGTTTGCCCGAACAGTTTGCGTGTGTGACATCATTGGGTGGGTGCGTCGCGACCAGACGATAGCGTCGCCGAAGAAGACGAGGAGGACGCGGCGAGGCTCTTCCGCGTTCCTCGCCGAGCCTTCTTCGCGACGAGGAAGGGACCAACCGGTCTGCCAACCGACAAACAGTGAAGATCGCGTGCGATTTGATCTCGATCGATCCACCCGAAAACAGTCGTTAGATTTTATCGTCTCGTGACAAACTGTCACGTCAGTAGTTCCTCCTATCTGATCTCTATGATTGTAAATAGTGATAATAAATTTGTAAAAATGGAGCGAGAAGGAGGGAAGGAATAGTGGAAAGAGAGATAATCGGAACGGAACATTTGGCGCTATTCGATTATGCATACTTTATCCTATGTAGAAGAATTGTGCGGAATTAAAATAAAATTTTTACATCGCCTGTATAACTTAGTATAATAAGCGTAAAATGGAATAGGAATCAATATCTACAAGGTTGTGGTAAAAAATTTATGCGTAGTATGGTAAGACTGTTTTGATCTATAGAGTGCATTAAAATGTTGAATCATACGTTATTTTTTGCCGAAAATTCTTGCAATAAAATTTATATTTAGAATCCGTATTTTGCTATATTCAATGTAATTAAAATAATCAGGAATCATAATCGACAAGTGAAATAATAGAAAATCGTCAAAGAAGCATTTCATTGTGTAACGATTTTTGTTTAAAGAATCTTAAATCCTATTCAATGTGAGAGAACATAAAACAATGAAGCTTTAAGAGCATTTTACAAAAAGTATTTTTTTTTAATATATAATAATCTGCACACAGATATATATATATCTACAGATATATATATATATATATATATATATATATATATATATATATTTATATAAATGATTATATTTTTAAATTATCTTATTGAATCATCACAAAGAAAAAATCATTATTAATATTCATCTAATTTTGTTTAGTCCGGTAAAATTTTAATGAAACTCTTTGCTTCGTTCACAGCCGTTAAATTTGGGCGCATGTCGAAGAAACAACGGGAGAAGGTCGAAGATGAAGTTAGATTCCACAGGGCACAAATGAGGGCGGCCTCGGAGACGGCACCGGACAGCAGTGTATTCGAGCATCAGACACCAAGCAGTTCGGATCAACACCATCCCTATAATGGCGGGTAAGCACGAGATTGAAACTTTATATTAAAATAATGCGATGTCAAAATTACATCAGATTGCATAATAAAACTTAATTAAACTTTTGCTCATATATCTATGATTTATAAAATTATATATGTGCATAAAATTATTTATATAAATATTTAGAAAATATATAAAATTATTTATAATATTTTTTTATTATTTATAATATTTATAAAATTATAAAAATCTACAATTTATAAAAGAAATATAGAAATAGCTTGACATACTATCATGATATAAATTTAAATATGAATATTATTGAATATTCTTATTGTGAGTTGAATATTCTTATGAATATTCTTATTTTCTTGCACTTCTCGTCACACGACGAGGAGGACGATTCACACGTGGACCCGACATTTGTCTGCGACAGGTACACGTACGGCGGTAGCGAATACACGTCGTCAGGACCCGGCACCGGCGGTTACACGAATTACAATCACCAGGCGATGACGAATTACGAGCTTAGCGCTGACTACGTCGACAGCACGACGACCTACGATCCTAGGCCGACGCAGACACAGGTCGCGGATACCGTCGCGCCCGATACACCTTCGGCTGTCACAGCGACCGGGGTGCTCCCCAGCGTAGTCACCACCGGTAAGTAAAACTTTATCCGCGATTTCCAACACATACGCGGACCAATTAAATCGTTCGTTAATTCCGACACGTCATCATTGGCCTAGATCATCATTGGAATAGATATATAAAAGATATTATCATATGTTTAATTCAATCATGTTAATCAATATGTTTGTGATTATATATTACACATATCTATACGCACATAAAGGCGCATGATAAAATGTAATTTAGAAATAAAAAAAAGTCTTATAAGATAAAAATTAATTTTATTTTTACAACTGAGATTGCAAATTTTTCGATAGTCTGGAAAATGCGGATTTTCCAGAATCACATCATAACTTTTCTTAATTATAAATAGCAAAGAATATAAAAAGAGATGTGATTTTTTTCAACATTAATAAGTTGTTGAAACAGTGGAGATTAAAAGATTTTTTTTGAAATTACATTTTACGAATAATAAAGATAGCTTGTTCTTTAGCTGGTTCCAAGTAAACTTTACTTTAAGGGAATCTTAAATTGGCGCTTAGTTATAAAGGTATTTAATGAGAAAAGTTTCCAAGTTATCAAAAAAGAAATTGTCCAATCAAATTTCCATAAAAGAAATCATTTTTTATTGTACAAAGAATTATTAAAGAAATTCAATTTTTTCTGCAAATAAATATAATAATATTTCTCTTTATAATAAAAATATTACATACATAAATTCATGAAATTCTATTAAAAAGTTTTATTATAATTAAAAATTAAGAGTATTTTTTTATTTTATTTTACTACAAAAATAAAAATACAAAAGACTGATACATATATTAGAATTCTCCCTGATTTATAAAGATTTACTTTTTTGACACACGTTAATCTTTTGCATTATAATATTATTATCATGAAAATGCATAATTTCTTACGTAAAATGATAGGAGGGAATTGCAATAAGATAATCAAACTAAAGAAATGGTAGTTTTGCAAGTTTTCGATACATTTCTCTTTTATGTAAATATTTTATATCATCGTAGATTTATTCGATGCATTATGCAAGGAACGAATTTGGTGCGCATTAGGGTTATGTAAAAGATTATTTTAATAAGTACGCATTAAATTGGATCTTGTATAATGTGGGCGCGACTCTTAAGTTCTCGCTTCGTAACCGGCACGCTAAATGCATTTCGGAGCACTGTCATTAACTCGCAATTAATTGCGTTCACTCCTTTAATATCACAGAGTTCATGCTATCGATCTTATCATCGATAATTATTTCTTAGACAAAACCACATTTCTTATTCAAATATTCTCCGTGTTCCATTATGCGACAAACTTTTTCACAGTATCCACATAAATATTTTCTTCAATGTTTTCATATTATTTTTTTTTAATTTTATTTTGTAATTTTTAGTTATGTGTAATGTAATAATTAACAATAATTTAAAATATATCTATTAACATTATTAATTGTTAATAGTTATAAATATTGTTGCACAAATTCTCTACGTAATAATAATAATATTTTTAATTTATTCACATATTTATGCAATATTAATTTATAGTTTTTGTATTTTACATTACTAGTATTATTATAAATATAACTTAGTTAACACACACATACACACATTATCAAAACACATACACACATTATCAAAACACTTACCATTTTTTATAAATTGACTCATAAAATTATATCTGTAACTTTCGTTAAGATTATAGTTTATGCAAATAATTTATATTAAGCGATTCATTTTTTTATATTTTGTTATCTATTAAAGATATTTTAATCTGGTATATTATATAATTCATTAATGTACTGATAATAATGTGATATTATATTGGGAAATCGTATTTCAAGTTTTCAGTCACAAAATTGATTACGTCTTTCGAGTTAATTTAAATTTAATCAACAAAACTTGTAATGTATTAATTTCATTTAACTCAGAATCTGAATTCGATTCAGTATAGTGACGAAACTTTGCATGAAATCGAAATGAATAAATGATGCAACCGGCTAATACAATATTTATCACTAATTGTCGAATATTTTGAGTAAAGCGAAAAATTAAACTATAAAAATTATATTACGTATATTATAATGATTAATTAAACAGAGAAATTCTTATTTTTCTAATTTAAAAAACAAATTTAACGCGTATGAAAGTTTATAAAGAAATTATATATTTCCTCTTTAAAAGAGATTAAAAAAATTATAACGATTTAAAAAATTACTAAAATATTACTAAAAAATTTATATTTTTTCTGTTGTTACGAGATATTAGTTTTATGCAATTTAATAATATAAAAAATGTTTGAAATAATAAAAATTTAATAAAGAGAATATACTGATTTTACGTTTACAATCGCTTGGTCGTTCGTTGTTAATCTGAATCTTGTTCAGTTTCTTTTTTTGTAACTTTTATTTATTATAAATATTCTTATCACTATCTGTTTATCATCCTTATTACCTAAATCACTAGCTTATACAATATCCTACAACAGTACAGCATCAAATGATCAGTCTTCATATATTTCATAACGTTAAAATCTGTTATTATGTTAAATATTACATGTAAAATTTTCCTAGTTAGAATATTATATAATAAAGTAGAAATTATTACTTAGGACAAAGTTATGTCGCAAAATAGACCACATATCTACTAAAGATAAACATTATCATTAAACATTTAAACGTTATTGTATAATAAAAGAAATAATTTGTTATTGTATAATGTGGATTACGTGTTATTCAGATTTGTCGATGACTATAATATATCATAGTATACTTATCTTTTTTTATTAAGAAACTCATTCCAAACTTCAATCGAAGCTTTATGTGAAGCTTTACAGATGCTTCAATAACAGTTTAAACTTCAGTTCGATTATACCTAGAATAATTATACATAGGACTCATACAACTTTATACTCCAGAAAATTATTAATTATTAACTATTACTATTTAATAGAATTTTATTTATGAAGTTACATCTTTTTTATACGTAAATAGTGACTATTGAAACGACAAACTCTATTTAATATTGATAACTTTGGAATTATAAATAATTAATATGTTCAAATATTCAAAATATTTCTTAAGAAAAATTTGTCAAGTGTCTTAGAAATAATGTTCTTTTCTTTTATTGAAATGTCCCGTAAGAACAGAGCCTATCTTTAGAATTCTGGGAGTTTTAAAAAAGATAAGACCTAAGGGAAACTGTACATATATATTTCTCTTTTTCCCTCTTTTTCTCTATACACTACTTTTAATAAATGGCAAAAAAGGAGACACACTATATTTCCCACAAAACTGCATACTTTACATAAAAGGGAAATAAAACACGTGTCTGGTTTGCCCAGGCGTAAGATAGGCCCTGCATAGGATTCATTCACACAGGGCTGAAATATTTAGACCTATTCGGCCCAAATCCCTCCCGAGACCAATTCAAGCCCTCGTGAACTTTGACTTTTCGGCGCATCAGGCAAGTCTCTGTCCGCCTCGACGACCGGGAGCAGCGCGGGGGGTGGAGGTACCGGCAGTAGCGGCAGCGGTAGTGGTGGTGGTGGTAACGGTGGTGGCGGTACTAGTAGCGGTAGTAATAGTGGTAACAGCGGTTCCACCGCAACTACCGGAGGGGCTGCCGGGGGTGGCAGCGGCTCGCTAAGCGGCGGCGGAATCGTCGCCGTGAAGCAGGAGACCACTGTCGAGCTCGCCGGCCTGGGCCATGGCTCGTACACGATGGTCGACTCGACGACTTTCCTAAGCGGCCAGCAGCAAAGGGTCAGCAACCCATCTGAGGACGACGAAGTGCCGAGTCTGCCCAGTATGTCCCATGCGATGAGATGTGAGGTTACGTTTGTGTCCCTTTGCATGGGCATGCGATCATCCCTTCGATTAGCCTCCCTACTTGCTTGCCAATCCCCTGCAAAAAAGTTCTCGAGGACCGACGAAATTGGGAGAAGATTATGAGATTGTATTTCTAGGAATTTCTGTGTTGGAGGATTTATTTTATTATATGTATCTTTAAATATTCCTTTTTTTTTTGTATTAATGAATGTTTCGGTGAAAACTGTCTTATACAGATATTATATATATTTACTAGATACAAGTCATATATATGAGAAATTGATAGATAAGCTGATTAAAATTTTTAAAAAATTATTAATTTAGATAATATAATATCTATACCGGTTTTTTCATTAAAATTTAATTGAAATTCATTGAAATTTTGAAGTATATTTACATTGAAACATAGCGCATTTTGAAAATTGATAATTTTAAGTAAGATAAATTAATTACATTATAATAAAATCATGAGGAAGGGTGATTCGAAACGAAATGCATTGATCAACATGGAAACTAGTTTAGCCTTATGAAAAATTCATAAAGAGTTGTTTAAAACTGGAGACTTGCTTGCTCTTTTATGTTAAAAGTTGCGGCTATCTGTATCTATCTGTTCATATGATAAAATTTTTAAACGTTTCTGTATTGAGTGTATTGAGTGTTTAAATTACAATTATATGTTAAAAATGTTAGTCCTCTGAAACTTTATCTCGAAACTTGGATTTTTGCATCATGCAATACATTATTATTAAACGTTCAAATATATATGTATATTATTTGTATATATTAATTTGAGATATTTCATGTTTATCCACGCTTTGAATGTTTTGTACATGTTTTTTACAATTATACTCTTGAAGAAAATGTAAATGATTTGGCATTCATAAATCTTTAATTCTTTGTGTGTATATATTGTATATATGTGTACATCTTGCATATATGTATTTATAATTATGTGAATAATTTAAAATTTTTTAAAATTGTATTCTACAAAATTTTGTACATCTCTATTTTACATATCATAATTGTTCAAAATGTAAATTTCATTTTCTTTTCTATTTGTATTTATCTAGAGCTACATTTCTTATTTGAAAATGTTTCTTGATTCAATGTGCATATATACCAAGAGTAAGTAAATGTACTATGATTTTTCTAAAAATGAAAAACATATATTTCGAAATTAATTTCCTATATAAATTTGTTATATAAGTAAATGTCATATATTTTCATAAATATTACATTTTTTCATTATATACATATCTTTGATTTTATTCAAATAGTCATAATATCTAGCAATTATAACTATGTTGTATGAGATCTACACGCATGTCTTCTGCATGAATTGCCTATAAATTATACAAACATCTTTTGCATTATCCTTTACATAAGAGATTATCTAAATCCTTTTGTTCTAACTATCTTACATTATTATGCTTGTAATTAGACTAACTTTATAACCAATTTTACTTTAAAATGTCTTTTTATAAGAAAAATAATAAGTTGCTGTAATATTTAAGAAAATAATTTATCTAATATTGACAAAAAAATAATTAATACGATGATTACATGTAAATAATTTGTATGACAAAGGATTAATATATAACGTACGCTTGCACGCTTAAAATTTCTATTTAAGATCTTTTTTGTTTGCCGAAAAAATATAAATCTTTCTACCATTTCTTTTTTATATATAAAACGTATCTATAAGAAAAGGAACGAATTACGAGCGGGAAATACGTTAAATCTGCAGATCCGGCACAGATCAGCGAGCTTCTCTCGAAAACGATAGCGGACGCGCACGCAAGGACATGCCTAGTATCTACGGACCAGATCCAGGAGTCCTTCCGGAAACCCGCCGACTACAATAAATTGATCTATTATAAAGACATGGGGCACGAGCAGCTCTGGTTGGAATGTGCTCAGAAACTAACCACCGTCATCCAGCAGATCATCGAGTTCGCCAAAATGGTCCCTGGATTCATGAAGCTCTCGCAAGACGACCAGATTGTTTTATTAAAGGCCGGTACGTAACTGCACCTGGTATAAGCCCTTTATCGTCTACTGGCGATAAAGCTTTATTCTTCTTTCGCGTGATTTAACGCGCAAATTTTGTGTAAGAAGAAGGTTAATCTGAAGATTCTATTCTATTTTTAATTCTAAAATGGGATAGGTAAGTAATTGCATTATTACCTCATTACTTGCTTAATGCAATTATGGTAACAATTTTAATATTTTTTTAACGTAAAATCAATATTCATTTCATTAGTGGAAACAATTTAATGTCGATCAAAAGTTTGTTGAGAATTTTCCTTAAATCTTCTTTAATCCCTTAATCTTCTTTAAGCAATGAATTAATAGCAATATTGTAAAATGCTGAATATATAATCGTCTCTTATTTCATTAGAATAATGAAGATAACGTCCTTTCAAAAGGATTAAATAAGTGAAGATAAAGAAAGCGCGATTATGCGCTGGAATATGCTGATATCCTGTTAAAATGTAACAGGTTCCTTCGAGCTGGCTGTGCTACGAATGAGCAGGTACCTCGATCTCCAGCAAAACTGCGTCCTATACGGCGATATCTTGCTGCCGCAAGAGGCATTTTATACGACGGATACGGCGGAAATGAAGCTTGTTTCCTACGTATTCGAGCTGGCCAGAAGTATCGCAGAACTGAAGCTCACCGAAACCGAGTTGGCACTCTATAGCGCGGCTGTTCTACTTAGCCCTGGTAAATGACACATGCGACATACGGAATGTCTCATCGGATAAATTTTATTTTTTTTTTTTAATTATAATCGCAAAATATCATTAAATTCAAATTTCACTGAATTCAATACTCGCATTTATATGTTTGCCCCATCACATGTCTACCTATTTTATTCTATCGAATTTTATATAACTGCGAATAATGCGATAATATCATTTCATATTTCAATTTTTTACTCTATCATTCGAACAGCATCACAGTAGACTGACTTACGATACGTTGCGTAGATCGACCGGGACTCAAGTGTCTGGGGGACATCAATAGGCTGTCACAGGCGGTGATAAGAGCGTTGAGGTCAGAACTTGATCGGAATCACATGACGCCGATCAAGGGCGATGTGACCGTGTGCGACGCGATCCTCGCCAAGATTCCGCAGCTACGGGAGATCTCGCTACTGCACATGGATGCGCTGGCTAAATTCAAGCGATCGCAGCCGCACCTCGAGTTTCCGGCCCTCCACAAGGAGCTCTTCAGCGTCGACAGCTGAACGAGCGACGCGGCACGGAGTGTCATCCCGGCGCTGCCGAGTGGACAGGAGCGCGAGTAGCGTCGCGGATCTTGCTCGGTCAAGGTGAGTCCGACCATCCCGGAAGAGAGATAACCGACGATCTCGCGGCCCGGGGAACCGGAAGTGGCGACGCTTCCTAGGAAGAATCCGCGAGCCGCCTTGAATGAGAACAAACTCGATGATAAAAGGCACGGTGACATGTCGTTGACAGATCGAAAGATCGATCTGTCTCGCCGCGAAGCGATTTAATGGGAGTTATTGCCTCGTGTCGAGAATAGTAACAGAGGCAACGTGAATTATGGCAGTCGCTTACGTTACGTTAGCTTGTTCGATTCCGAACTTTCGGATTCGGAAATATGTGCTTTTAAGACAATTTATTGAGAGCGGGTGCTCGGAAAGGCGAGAAACGATGTCGGCTAATGCTTATCTGGATTCTAGAATTTAGGGTTGAGCTCATTGTCACATTTCACATTTAATATTAAATGTGACTTTACATATTTTACCCCATAACTGTAATAAATATGATCACTAAATAAATTCATTAAATAAATAAAATTTGAATGACCGTATTTAGCATCAAGTTTATTAAATAAATTCAAATTGTAGTTTTTCTCTTTCTCTGCAAGATGGTTATCCAAAATAATCATCCAAAATAAGATCATTTAAAATATATTTGAAGTAAATAATATAAAATAAACAAATTTAAAATTGCTCGTTATTTGCGTTTTGAGAAATGCGCAAAAGTGATTTTAACACAAGGCCTAAAGGGCAAAAAATATAAAAATTTCAACAATTTTGAGATTAATGTGAAATTTCTAAAATATAAAATAATACTGATAGCTATTAATTATTATAACATGTTGAATAAATAGATAAAAGTAGAGAAACGGTATATTTTCAAAATCCAGATAAGAATATAATTTTTTACACTGATTGGTATTTTATGTAGAAAAAAGTAATTTAAATTACACTTATTTATTCAGCAATTTTGTATTAATTTTGTTATGTTTCTAAATACGTATTATAATTTCGAAACTTTTTAAATATATTGAAATATATACGTCTTTTATTTTATCAAAATTAAATTTACTAAAGTTATATTAACGATAAAAATACAAACGGACTTGTATATGAGAAGTTCTAATAAATTGATGAAATTCATTGATGAAATAAAAGACAAAATTAGAACTATCGTGCACACATAAATATCAATGTATGAAAATAATCATGTTTTTTAACGAGATGCGATAACAGGACATTTTTTAAATTTTTTATATATTTTATTTTATATTTATTTAATTTTGTAAATGTTTGCAGAATAAGAAAAGACGAAGAAACATCAAAAACAAATATAAATATAAATATTCTTTTATATGATAACAATATTCAAGATCTTTTATATAATTTATTATATATGTGAGGAAACTAAAAAAATAAATAAGAATAAACATGTTTTTCTTAAGAGTTGATAATATTTTGAACTCTCTTTTTTTATCGTATCAATATACAATATAAAATATACAATATACAATATAAAATATTATCATGAGTTTAATATATTATCATATGAATACACAAGGAAAATATACTATATTTTTCAAATTGTTAATATAACTTTTCATTGCAAATAAATAATTGTTTGACATCGCTTTTTACAAACTCGCTTATTCGAGTACCAATGCAATGAATATTCGAGAGTCTTACATAGTCGTTCTACATTGTGTATATCTTTTTTATTGTTTAAATTACAAAAAATCTTTTAGAAAATAGGAAAAATGGGCGAACTCGTGGGCGCACGTACAAATCTTTTTACAACATTTCAATTTATGCGATAAATATGATATAATAAACAAGAAAAAGAATATTGTGCACGTTTTAACCCTTTAATCGGTAAATTATACTTGTTTAAAATTGGAAAAAGCTAACATTTTTTTATCTAATTTATCTTTGTTTTACAAAGATAAAATATAATATAACATTTGAAAAGTTAAAATTTATAAAAGTTACATTTTCTAAAATATAAATAATCATAATTTATTTTTTTATTATAATTTAATAGTAATAATTAACAACAATTTATCACTTGCTACATAATGTTCTTGAAATTGAGACAAAATGAAACATTACCGTTAAAAGGGTTAAAATTAATATTAATCAATTAGAAAAAAATAATTTGTAAATATGCTTATATATGATTAGCATCAATCTAAAGTAGATCGACTCTGTTTCTCCTTCGCAAACGTCCTCAAATCTTTCATCTGTCAAAAATATGAATTCTTAGCTTCAATACACATTCATATAGTAATATTATACTAGTACATACATCAGTTCTTTAAAAAGAAAATCTTTTTTATAAATATTAAACTCTAATCTAATATTATCTGGACGTCTTGAATGAGAAATCAAAGGGAAATTACAAATATAATAATGGTGAATGAATATGATTAAAGGTTGAATCGGATTTTAATCGTTCATAACACATTAATTTTATAGTTTTACATCAATCTATTTTAGCAATTGTATTTTGATGTGATATTTCGATGAAAAAAGTTATTTGTCACTCATTTTCTCTAGAACACGAATTTTTAATTTGAATCTGATTCATCCTCCTAAATCTTATTTATTCGATTATTCTCTCTAAACCAGTTTGAATGAATTTTAAATGATTAGCCTACCGGATAGCGTATGCGGTTCATAGAGCGAACTAACTTATTTTTGTTTGTTGTTAAATTTTGTCCGAATTTTAATACTGAATATTATGTTAAACTTTATATACGTCTATGTATTTTAAGCTGTTTCTCCGCGCGTTCAAAGTCATTACGATTAATGTATTACGATTGACTCGACGATGTACTCGAATCTAAAGATTATAGTAGATAATGTAAGTAATAATTGTAAAGATATAAATTTGTTTTAATGTCAGTATGAGTTATAATGTCGATAAGTTTATGTTAATATCGATATGAGGAAATTTTACTGCCAGTAATTGGATTTAAAATTACAGAATATCTCAAAAAAATGTATCTAATACTTTTTGATCTTTAAATATGTGATTTTCCATTGATAAAAATTTTATTGTAAAATCTAATTACAAAATTAATTATAATTTTCATTTTTTATTTGAATTAGCCTTGTATAGAACTTATACATCTATAACTGTGAATATTTTATTATAACAAATATTTAATTAAAAGCAATTTTCATTCAAGTTTCTTTCAGTAAATTATTTTATATATTACGACAATCTTTTTTGGGATGTTCTGTATTTTTCGCTCGCATAATAAAATTATGTTCGATATCTAATTTGTTATGTCAATTATATATTGTAGAAAATGATATTGTTATGCAAAATATGTATATTATTCGAGATCGAAACTTTTGGCCTTTAAGTCAAATTAAATGTCCGGTAGGCTTTCAAATATTTGTCACGATAGACTGTCTTTTATTGTTAGATAAATTATTAAATAATGCCTCTCTCGAGAGGCAACCGATTGGTTGCCTATCATCCTTGGTCGGATGATTCTTCCTAGGAAACGTCAAGATGAGCACGCTAAAGGTAAATTTAGGAAAATAGGAAAAATATTATAGTAGAATATCACGCGAGAAAAACACATCGAACTGAATAGAACGCTGGTACATGGTCTCGCCAAAATCGTTGATAGAATTTTATATAATAGCAAAATTTTGCAACTTATAATTTTCTTATTTCAAATTTTATCTACAAATTGACGGAATGAAAAGAATGATAAGATATAATGTGCAATAGATAATTTTTTTGAGATAAAAAATTTAGAATGGTGAATATAGTCTTCGAAACAAATTTTACATGATTAAAGGTAAAAAAGTATTGTAATTCTACTTTTGATGAAAAAATACGTGTCTTACAGAGCTTAATTTTTGCACGATTATTCTTATACAGACATCTTAGGATAAAGTTTAAAAATACAATAGAGTTCAACTTTCGGCATCAATTACAATTTTTTTTTCTTAAGTAAAAGAAAGCAAGAAAAATATGTTTGCCTCAATCTCTTTAAATTTACTTGAAAATTTGATTTTACTTGTTTCCTATTCATATTGTTAGTACATGCTATAACATGATATCCAATCTTAAAATGGAGTATATACTAATTATACTACGTATATACCGCATATTTGGTTACTATTCGTTGTTTCTCTCTTAATTTTTCTTCGAAGAACATGCATTGATAATCTTGAAGCAAAATTGGCGAATTGATTTAAGTTATCACTTTGTCCAATCACGCGTAGATCATCTACTGGTGTCCGGCGTATCGCGAACATCTCATGCGCATCCTTCACGGCGATGACGACGATGACAACGTCAGGAACATATATACAACTTGTCGACTGAATAGTTCTATACTCATACGGTGCTTACGACAGGGAGCAAACCAGGTACAAGCGTTGTTTAATCATATATTCGTCTCCTTTCTGTTGCAGATAATTTCCTTCGTAATGAACGTATTGGGCCTTAAATAAACATAAAAACATTGTTATAAAGTATACATAAAAAGCAACATAAAGTATATACAGAAGAAATATATATATATATATATACATAAATATATATATATAAATATAAATATATAAATATATACATAGTGTGGATGCGTATGTGTATATGCGCGCGCGATACGTCTCACCGACGCAAAGGTGTATACACATACGCACATGTCGTTATAAGATTACATTATATAGATAAAGAAAAAAATTGCGAATATTATATGCGTGCGAAGCGAACGAGCGAGCGAGCGAGCGAAAGCGAGAGAATGTGCGTGTGTAAGCGAGAGAAATGGACGAATACGAGTGAATATGAGAGAGAGCGAGAGAACTGAAATATCGGTTGTTACGATACATACATAAAGTATCTATTGTATTAATTAAAAAAAAAGAAAAAATAGTAGAAAGAAGGAAGAGAGAGGAGGAGAGGGAAACGGTGATTAACCAAGTCCTGCTTAGGCGGTCCTAGGACGAGTATAGAATAATATAATATTATAATTGAGAAAATTGGCATTTTTTTATGGGAAGAAAATCTCGATCGGGCCACTCGTGCGACATAGAGACCGATATTATCACACTGTCGAACAGAGAGCGAGCAAACCCAGCGAATAGCGTCGGCGAAGGGTAGAGCTTAAATTGCTGAAGGCGAGGAACCGTGGAACCGCGTCAAAGTTGGGTGTAATTAAACACGATAATGGCGATAAAATGAGAATGTTTTTATCACGTTTTAGAATTTTCTCTCAACTTTTGCTCAATCATCTCTTACGTCCCAGTTTTATCTCGCCTTTGCCATTAATTGTTATATTTGTATCCTGCTCGTCAATCGCAGACAAAGAGTAAAATTTAGTACAAAAGAAATTTACGCGTGATTGTATTAATAATAAAATATAGATATGCGATAATATGACGTATAAAGGATAACATTTTTTAAAGCGTTAAAAATTAAGAGAAATGTAAAAGAAAACTGTCAAAATTACAAAAAGAGGAAATTTAGAAACGAGCAAGAGAGAAAAGAGGGACAAGAAATTTAAAAGCAAGATACAGAAGTCGAAGGCATAAAGAATCGATAACAAAAAATTAAAAGTATCTTAAGAACTTATGAAAACATGATCATTAATCGCCATTATCGTAGTCAACTTGTACGAGCTGTGAGATGATCAAAGCCTCTTCTCTCCGCTCGTATGCCGGTAAAGGACGCGTCGCTTCGCTAAATATTCAAATAAGTTTTACTAAGTGAAGACATAACTAAAGAAGCAACTATAAAGCACCGTATTCTATTTAAAGATATGACAGAACTAGATCTAGAGCTACCCTTTTAATCACGATCATCTTAACACGTATTATATACATCGTCGATTCGATACTTGAAATTTCTTTTAACTTAGCAAGAATATTCGAATAAACGCGTCCTTACAATTAAGCTTAAATGCAAAAATCGGCAGCGGTCACGCGTTCCGCCGTCGTCGCGACTTCGAGTAGTGATTCGAGTATAGTTCTGAAGCTACTTTATATATAGCATAAATACATATATATAAATAAAAAATATATATATAAATTAATAAATATATAAATATATAAATAATTAAATAAATATATATATAAACACTATACATATGGGAGTATATTTCAAGGAGCGGAACGATCGAGATTCGGCGGCCCTCGCGAGATTAATAAGAATGATAAGCTGTAGACAGAGATTCTTCGTCCCTGGACCAACTTAGCCGGATCCACACGAATAACGATGACACGTAACACGCTCACGAGGATCCACACATACATGCATACATATGCAGATACACGCAGATACAAAGAGAAAGAAAGGGAGTGAAAGAGAGAGAGAATGAAAGTGAGAGCGAGAGAAAAATATTATATGAATTGACGCGCGGATGTGTAACTTTCACGGATGCAGGCGTAGATAGAGCTAATCGACCGCATTATGCGCGCGCATTAAAAACGTTTTTGGTACTGTACGGCACTTGTATGACGCGTCTCTTTATACGTAAATCCGTATACTTCTTATGGATAAAAAAAAACATACAATAGCCCGTCGTCGCGCGCTGAGACACCCTCACGAAGCGTTTATATACGCACCGTCACCGGCTTTCCTCGCTGTCGTCGATCATTGATCGAAGATCAGGATGGAGATTGAGAAGGATTTAATAAGGGCTCGCTGTTATTCATCGACACTTTCGCGACCGCCCGCTTATTTTTTAAAAAATTACATTGTTGGACGCCGGACCGATTAAAATGCATTCATACGCCTTCGCGTCGTTGCTAAGTATAAAATTATGTTGCTAAGAGGCAGGCTGGAATTAAAATAAAGGTATTCGTACGCCATCATCTTTCTGCTATAAATAATAAGAGTATTTGTAAGTCACACCTTGTGCTTTTATTATAAATATTCTTAACTTGATATATGTATATATATACACACCCACGCATATATATATATATATATATATATATATATATATATATATATATATGAGAGATACGAGATATTTAAACTCTTTAAGAATCTTAAAGATATATAGAGAGAGCTTGTAATATATCGGTTTAAAGAATAATGCTATATATATATATATTTAAAATTGCAACACAGTTTGATTTAAGAGTTACTTATAGCGATGACGTGCGAATACTGTGTGTCTCATTCTATGGTGAATTTGTTTAAGGTAAATTATGAATATTGCAGCTAATTATGTAAACCCTAAACGGTATAAGCGGGGTATGACAGATCGTTTTTAATTATAGAAATTATCATTCATAGCGCTATTATTATTTGTTTGTATTTATATAAAGTTTACTAAATATAAATAAATAAAATCTAATTTCTACTCATATAAATCACGAACATCTTTTATTTTTCTGCTGTAGGTGTATATAAGTATTTATTATTATAAAATCTTCGCAGTATGTTGTGTGTTCGTCTGTCGCGTTCGGCCTTTTTTTTTATAATTACGTAAGTAAAATAATCTATACTGTTTAGGGTAACGCAGTCTTCAACAGTTATCAACATATACCCATTATAGTTTCTTTTCGAAAGTTTATATAATGGTGATGAAATAATGTCAGAAAAAAACCAGAGTCAGAGATTTGTACTAAAAATTCTGAATATTTTTTTTGACATTTGACTTGTCTCATAACGATATTAAGATAGTTATACTCCACTTATATTTGTATTTAGTGTAACACACACAATTCTACATAAATATAATATAATAATTGTGATGTTTAATGGGTTGGAAATGTATCGATATGAAAACTGCATAAATTTGTAGTTAAATCAGCGGTTGCGAAAGTGTTAAGAATGTATTGTTATTAGCTCTTTATAGTTCGATTATTATGTATTTATATATTATTATTATTTGCTCGAATGACAGGATTATTAAAACTACACATTAAAACAAATACTTACACTCAGCTTGGATGATAACTTGCAATTTTTAAATATGCAATGACTTCGTAATTTTTATTAAATGAATTATTGTTATTTACGAATGATAACGTGAATTTAATAGTAATTTAATATCATAACAAACATATTAGATTTGCTCATGATAGAATGTATTGATTCCATAGAATGTTAATATTTTATTATCCAATTAAATTTGAAAAAAATTGGAAGGTACTAATCTTGAAAAGAAGATCTCAAATTTTATATTGTGTTTGATGCATATAGTTTTAATATTTTTACATTATAAAATTTTTAATTAATTTCTTCCCTTCTTTGAGTTATTAAATTTTTTGAAATTTTAGTTTTTCTGAATCTTTGATCATTAAGTACATTTTATTCTTTAAATTGTTATATTATTCGTTTCTTGCATTCTCGGATTTTGATTAAAAGAGTTTTTTTTAGTTTTAAAGTCATTACTAGGGCAATAAAAGACGAGGAAATAGATTATTTTGATCTTAATTGGAACACTGCTAATTATTATTTTAGAAACTTGAAATTATTTTAAATGTTTAATATGAAAATGAATAAACAAATATTTGTTGCTGTCTTTAAAATATCATTTTAAGATGGTTTCGAAAATAAGATGAAATTAAGCAATCACAATACGATAAATTGTAATTAGATTATTAAAGGATAACTCTCTCGGATGCATATACAGAGTCAATTTGTTCTAAAATATTATAATTTTTACTTACAATGAAGAATTATATACACTTGCATTCATTTTATTTAAATTACACTATTTGCTAAATCAAATTTTAATTAATAATATAAGTATAAATCTTTGATACGGAAAGTGCATAATTTTCTTTTATTTTTATGAGAGTTAAAAGCGTATAAATATCATAAATGAAAGAAGAAAGGCAGCTCTAGTTATTTTATATTACTTTCATATTAATAAATTTTTAATAGATTAGCAATGTATTTACATTATACAATATTTTTTCCTACAAATGCAAAGACAAAAATTAATTTTTTCAAATTTTAGGAACTTTTTGAGTCAATCTCGCGCTATTGATTAATAAAAAAAAGAATAATTGTTTATTCTTCTCGAATAAGCTTGTGTCTTTTTTAATTTAACACAACATGCAAGAAGAAGACTTAATAATAAAGACTTAATATACATCCGAGAGGCACGAATGCGATTGAAAAAGGATCGACGAGAGCGACGGCGAATCCGTCACGGTGCGCCGACTGACACGCTTTCGGACGGTTGCATATACTTATAGCGAAAAATTACGAGAATGCATATTATTCTGCCGATTAACGAATAAGTGCGTAGGATTCGTTTAATTGTAGATCGAACACGTACACAGTCATGTTACGCGCGAGTGCAAAATGCATACCATCTACGATACCCTTCTTCGCTCACATCTTTATCCCCTTATTCAAGAGCAACACACACATACACACGTGCACACACAACATACACAGACACACATGTACACAGAACGTACGCGTATACGAATACACATAATTACACATACACAAAATACACACGCGTATAATAAGGCGCAACACGTACACGCGCACGCACGTTGCAATTAGACGTTATTATCGCAATTTGGAGTTAAATTTTATAATATATAATATATAAAAAATATATATAATAAATAAAAGTTGACGGATAATATAGAGTTATATTAAATATCTAAACGAAGATACTCGTGTGTTTCTCATGTGTGAATATATTATCCCTTTTGTTGCGCAATCACAATCGAAATTTCCCTTCTCTCTCATATCCTTAGAATAGCTTAAGTAGATAGAATACTATAGTATTTGCACACACCAACAATGTTTTCACTGTACGTTCTTCAATTCTTATCATATTATGGTTAAACTAATTTTTTTTACTTATGTCTTAATAAATATTATTTAATGTCTTAACAAAAAAGTAGTTAACATATTAGATTTATATATTCAATCTAATAAATATCTCACATTGACTTCTGAAATTTATTTATTCAACTCTTACTACGTAAGAGTTATTTATGTGATGAGATATAAAATAACTCAAATATATGTATACTTTTTTCTTTACATTCTTTACATAAAAAGAAATTTATTTCTTTACATAAAAAGAAAGAATAAGTTAGGATTATTTTTATTGTAACTGCTTTTTTAGTTTAATATTTAAGGAAAAGTAGTGAAAAAATCTTAAATTTACTTATTATCTTTATTTATACAAAATTGTAACGATGTTTCAATCTTCTTTTATTGTTCAATACTTTTCAAAAATTATTTTAAAAGTTATCTTTATTTTTATAAAATAAGTAATTCAAGCAATTTCTAAACTACTTAATTATAATCAATATTAATGTATGCAGTGAATAGTAATAGTTGTAACTTGAGAAAATTTTTAATTAGCGACTTATAATAACAATTTTTTAATACAATCACATATTGGCAACAATATCGATATAAATATGTTTAGTCGACTTGTGTGTATTGTTAAAAGTAAATTTTTATTTTATAAATAAAATACATATAGAAGTAGCTATTAATATCACAAATATATTCAATTTTAGTTTTATGCATATTTCATTTATCGACAAATTATCTAATATTATTTTTTGTACAAAAAATTCTTAAGAATTCTTCAAGCAATGTTTTTTTTTAGCGTCAACATTTGAAGAAATTTTTAAATTTTGCGTATCACTATCGAAAAATAACGTGATATATCGATGTATCGATATCAAGCAATTACTTTGCACAGCCAGAGAGAAGACTGATTGTGAAAGGTGTCATGGCCCGCTTTTAGGTGATAGCTGAAAGCGATACGCCCTCTGTTAATCTAAAAAACGAGGACATGAACTACAAAGCCAAAGTCCACGAAAGTTCTCAGAGGGTAACATATATGTGCACAATTTCTGATTCTGTTCCGTGCTATGTAAAAAATACCTGTAGTACACGAAATGCCTATGTACACGAAATGCCATCAGTGCTGTATAGTAAAACGCATATGTATATAAATATAAATAAATTTTTAATTTTAATTTTTTAAATAAATTTTGTGGTCCTCTCTCTCTCCCTCTTTCTCTCTCTTTCTCTCTCTACACATACACAAATAAACACACACACATATAATATATATATGTATATATAGTATGACACTACAACTTTATTCTGAAATATCTGCGTTATGTTTAGAAATATATACATATATATATATATATATATATATATATATATATATATATATATATATATATATATTCAATTTAAAACATTACATGAAATACACGCGCTGGAATTACATACATATATTCTATGTGTACATAAATACAGATATATTATCTCTTTTCGAAAGATATGTTAACATTGAAAAATTTAAATATAATATATATTAAATTAATTGATTCATATCTATTTACGTCATATCACAAAGTAAGAAGTTAAAATTTGACTTCAATCCTGAAAAATACTGTGATCTTTCAATGTAATGTTCAAACATAAAATAAATACTTTTCTATACATTCAATGTCATATTTATATATTTTTATTTACAAAAAAACAAAATGTCTGTTGTGGAATAAAAACCTTTTTAACTGTATTTCTATAAATCTTTTTAATTAG